TAAATTAATTTGCGTATTTATCTGGGATCTATACCTTTCCAAGTTGGACTTCTGGTGTCCGTAAAAAGCTTCGAGCTGCTTGCTTGCCTGAGTTGTCTTATAATAAAGTACTCCGGATTTCTTGAACTAACGCATGGGTTTGTGTTTAATTTTGGGCCAATTGTCGGCTTGCTTCTGTGTGCTGCTGTATGATTACTTCAAACCAGTGACAACCTGGTCTGTCAGGGTTTTATTGCTTTATTTTTAACACCATGCAACATCTGCGCTTTAGTTACAGGAAATGGCTACTGTTTGGCATCAGCTAAAATTGAGGAAAGCGAGAAAAAGCTCGGTGCTCCTGATTTTACAATAATTGAATTACCACACATTTTTTAATAAATATGTATGAAAGTTTCGTATTTTTACTATTTTGCTAATTTCTGCAAAAAAACGTGTTAATTTTCTTTCAGGTAGCCATGACTAAGAAACAAAAGGCCATATTAAAGGCCATGGACGCAGTTAGAAAAGGAGCCTCAATTTCAGCTTCCACGGTCATCGTTGGACGACAAAATACGCAGCCGCTATTCTATTGAATATTCCAAACTCATATCATAATGATATAACTTAATGTCCAAAAAATTGTGAATTAGGTACCTGTTAAGGTTTTAATCAATAATTTTGTATGGAACTTATGGCACCGACTTCTTACCTATCAGTGGGTGGGTAACCTATCAATACTAATAATCGTTATTTTTTGCTTTTTAGTTTTGACTTTTTGTTTGTTATTAGTTTTTGGTTTTTTGAAGTCGGTTTTTTAAACGCAATTTTTATATCAAAAGAAGAAGAAGATCATTTGAGTAGATGGATAATTCTTATGGCAGATAATGGATTTCCTGTTACTAAGGCGCAGTTGTTAGATAGCGTATTTTATAAAAAATTGAAGCGAAAAAACCCTTTTAAAAATGGCAGACCAGGTCGTCACTGGTTTGAAGCCTTATTATAAAGCGACACCCTGAAGTAGGCCAGCGAGTATTCCAAAATCTAATGTAAACCCGTGATTTAGTTCAAGAAAGCCGTTTAAGATCGTGGTATAAAGAAGTGGAAGACTATTTTATTATGGCACACCTTGAGGAAGCCATTAATTCTATTTTAAAATGTAAAAATTTAAGTTAGTGATGTTTTTTTACCAAAGGTTACTGAAGATGCCATTAAAATATGTTACTAGTGTTAAACAATAATTTATGTAATTTTTTAATTAAAAAAATTAAAACAACTCATGCCTTTTTTGTTAAATACAGACCCTGATTGTTTTCACTACTATTTTTATTTAAAAATATTTTATTTCTGTGAACTTTAACGTAAAGCAATAGAGTTCAAATTTGCACTTAAAATTGCCGGATTTCGGGACAATAAAACGTTAACTAGTACAATTCTACCGGATACTGGTACAGTTGGCCCTTTTTGTATTTTTTTTGTTTTATTGTTAATTAACATTTCCATAAGTTTAATAGAATTATAATATACTAAAAGTATACTAAATTATCTAACTAGTCATATAAAATTTATTTTCATAAGTCTACTTGTTTCAGCCTAGCGCGCATGCAAAGTCAGGGAAGTTCAAAACTTCACGGTTACTGGGCCGTTTACCTTACCTAATATATGAACGTTATCCTAGTTTCGCTAATTGAAATTAAATTATGTAGTAATTATAAAACTATATTATTATTTAACAAAATAGTTTTATTATTACTATACTTATAATTTTTTAATTTATATCTATTATTATTTAATTTATATTATTATTTAACAAAATAATAATAGCAATACTTCACAGCTTTTTCTGGTTTTTAGCTTCAAAAATCAGGTGGAAATAATAAAAATATGTATATGTACACACGGCCACACATCTATCTATGCAAAACCAGTTTATCCTGGTGTCGCGTCGCATCATCTTTCCGCACATTTAACGTTCAGTTTATACTGGTTATGTATAGCTATGTGTAGCCGTATGTATAAACGTGACGATTGTCCCATTTCCCTTTTCAATTAGAGGTCAAGTTTGCTGCAATCAAGCCCTCTATCTTTTTAACAAAACTACTTAATACCTCTTCAGACTTTTACAAAAATAAATACCTTTCGTGCTGACCCTCAATATACAAATTCATGTATTGTTACTACTTTCTAACACCTACTTGTTATCATGAGAATGTTATGGTAAGTGCCATAGGGATAGTAGCTGCCTTGCTGGCAGCTACACACATTCGTTTGTAAGTAGAATTAATATACTAAAATATATTAATTAATTTCTATTTATGACCTTCTCCCAAGTGAAACAAACCCTTCTCTGAAATCCACGTCAAAATCCATTTGGATAATCGTTAGATAATCGCGCACAAACACATTATAATTATATCTAAGTGTGGGAAAGCCATGCTTCGGCACGAATGGGCCGGCTCGACCGGAGTGATACCACGGCCTCACAGAAAACCGACGTGAAGCAACGCTTGCGTTGTGTTTCGTCGTGTGAGTGAGGTTACCGGAGGCCGAATTACCGTCCTCCTCCCTTTCCCCAATCCCTGAATCCCCAACAATCCTCAAATTCCTAATCCCAAAAGGCCGGTACGGCCTTGTAAAGTCTCTGGTGTTCCAGGTGTCCATGGGCGACGCCGATTGCTTACCATCAGCTGATCCGTCTGCTCGTTTACCGGCTTAGGCCATAAAAACAAAATACAGGTGAAACTGCGAACCTTCTATTTGAAGTTGCAGGCAAAAACGTATTACCTATTTTGATTTCGTAAACATGTTCTTTTTACATAAAATAATCACACTATTAACAACACGGAATATAGAATACAATCTATATTCCGTGATTAACAACTAGTTTAGCGATATGCTTCATTTTCCTATTTTGATAAAGTTCAGACTTATAAAAAGTATTTGGCCTAATTACCCCACTCCACCCCCTTCTCCAATCTCCCGAATCCCCAACAATCCTCAAATTCGTAATCCTAAAACGTACTTCTAATGTGTTTATAAACTTGATAACAAAACTTTCAGTAGGTAGTACCTAGCCACTTTCTAAAGTACCCTACTTACCCTCAAAAGAATAAAAGTAATGAATACTACGCCATGACCTCTAAGTAAGGTAACCCCACACATAGTTTCCCACACATTCCGAGTGTTTACTTAGAGCGACGTACGCGCATCACAGCCGCTTTATAACGGAACCGAAACTACAACATATCTGGATTCGTAACCAGATCCTATATTTAAAGTAATATCTAAATCCTACACTCTATCTATTAAATCACAGTAGGACTGCCTCGTTGGCCGAGTGCGACTACCAGCCAAGGGGTTTCGGGTTCGATTCCCGGGTTGGGCAAAGAACTATTGAGTTTTTTAAAACATTCTCAGTGGTTGCACGATGTCTGGAATTGTGACCGTTACATGGCAATAGGCTCACCCCATATTATATGGGACTCATAACATAAATCGTGAAAAATGAGTGTTACATTGTACAGCGGCATTAAGTGCTGTAATGGGCACCTCTATCTACCCTTTCGAGAATCAAAGGCGTGTTAGGCTATGTTATGTACGAAGGTAGTCTAATATATAAAGTTGGATGATTTCGGATTTAGGCAAATAACAATAACGTTTCTAGTTTTTTTCAACCAAAATATTATTCCTATACCCATATCCGTAACCAGATTCGAAATGTGACGATGGTACAGCACTAGTGTTGTGAAAAGAGACGCTCACTGATATCGGATCCCTTGTTTTGAACTACAATGTAATGCTGGGTCTGCAATGCGCATGACGGGACTTTTTCTGACTAATCACAATATTTTTAACGACTTCGAAAGAGGAAGGTTCGTAATTGCACTGCATTTTGAACTAAATCACGATATAAATAGCAACTATTTAAACTTAATCCTATAAAAGCTAGCCAGCACTAAAAACATCGCTTAGGCTTAGTATCAACTTTCAAATTATTCGTTAAGATTAAGATTAACAGATGTTATATGTAGTTTTATAGGATATCTACACTCTAAATTTCCACTAAATGACACTCAAATATTATCGACTCACTCATTAATAACACATAACATAACATAACGCCTTATATCCCCGAAGGGGTAGGCAGAGGCACACAGAGGTAACATCCAATTTTCACTATTAATGTTATGAGCCACATGTAATACAGGTGAGCCTATTGCCATATACCGGGCACATTTCCAGACTCCATGCTACTACTGAGTTTTTTTTTTTAAATAAATCAGAATAATTAACATCATTTAAAAATATAACAACACAGATAGAACACAAAAATAACATAGGTGTAATAACACTTAACACTAACTTTATTAAAACCTACACTAAAATAAAATAATAATATGAAGCAGAATAAAATTCTGTGTAAATAAAATAAAAATATATAATTCGCCCACAATTTTTCTAATAATTAAATTCTACACACGTATCGAATGTATTCAATTATGTGTATCAATACATAACATTGTTATTACTGAATATATAATACATAAGTATATGTATTTAATCGGTATACATAATTTATATCATGTCATAATAATGTATATTGATTGACATGCGTGTCAATTAAAATACGTAATATTATTTACCGATTGATTTCAATATTTATATACTATAGTCTGCCTGTATATGGGGGCTAAAGAATTACGTAGAAAGGTATTAGGCATAATATTTCTTTTTTATTGCTGTTTTTAAAGTGAAATTTTATTACATTACCTACCTATAAATATTAAGATTTTATGACATTAATATTTTGTTCGTAATCAAAAGTCGTTCATGTTAAATTGTAACTAGTAATCTGATATACGCGAATATAATAATTTCCATAACGAAATTTAAGAAAAAAACATCAATAATAATAAAAAAGACCACTCTTACCGACCATGAAAATATCACAAAAATTTAATATAACAAACCAAACCAAACTAAAACAAGCACTGAAATTAATAAAAAATAATAATTAAACCGACCTGCGCGTACGCAACTCCCGCGAACGCGAGTAGCGCGCAAGACGCGACGATTGCGCGCGCCGCCATACTGCACTGAGCGAGAATTGCACTGCGATTGCGATTAGCGATACTCTGCGTTTGCGCACCTGTCCAATATTAGTACAGTCGATGCACAACTGCATTATATCAAACGCTTTATATTTAGGAATATTGCTGTATTTACTGCAATATTCCACTTGTACTATGAATTAATAATATTGTAGATATAATATATTTGGTAGCTTTTCAATCAATATTCTACCTCTATTATAGAATTGGTTCTGCATTTAATTTAACCTTATCCCGAGGTTTGGTTTCTTGACATGTGTGAATATTAGTAGGTAGCTATCTGTGTAACTCAAGGAAATATTCTTTAATATATCTGTGGTGTAACTCATCAGAAATTGCTCATGAAATTTCATTGTTGGACTATTGGGTCTCTTCTAGAGGGTTAAACATAATTCAACGATCGGCACCCTTGCTAGGGCTGGAGATCGCAGTTTATAAACGGTTCAAGTTTTTCCACAGTTATATAACAAACAATATATCTATCGGTTTATCTGAGAATGCTAGTAGCCAGGTAAGTATTTGCATGTCCAATAAATATTTCTATCAAGATAAAAGATTTAATAGTTATATTGTCATAGTGCTAAACAATAATTAGATATTTAATAGTATTCAGAAGACTGACGTGAAACAAAACTTGCGTTGTGTTTCATCGTGTGAGTCAGGTTACCGGAGGCCCAATTACCCTACCCCACCGTTCCCCAATCCCGGAATGCCCTACAATCCTCTAATTCTAAATCCCAAAAGGCCGGTAATGCACTTGTAACGCCCCTAGTGTTCCAGGTGTCCATTGGCGACGCCGATTGCTTACCATCAGGTGATCCGTCTGATTGTTGACCGGCTTATTTCCGAAAAAAGTATATATCTATAAAGTGAGCTACGTCATCGAAACGCCTTTATATTAAAGATTATTGTTTCTGGCTTTGACTGTACCTATGTCGGGTTGTGCCACTCTAATATGAGAGTTATTATAAAGCATTACATCTTACCCTTCTCTCTAAATACTGCTGTAACTATAGACATAGAATATTAGAGATAATACTAATCAATTTGGGGCTTAAGTAACTACTGAATTGAGAGTCGAGTGGTCGCAAGTGCGACTGTCGAGCAAGGGGTCTCGGGTTCGATTCCCGGGTCGGGCAAAGTATAACTGGGTTTTAAAAAAATTCTCAGTAGTAGCACGGAGCCTGGAATTGTGCAATATGGCAATAGGTCCACCCCCTATTACATGGGACTCATAACATAAATAGTGAAAAGTGGGTGTTACATTGTACAGTGGCATAATGTGCACCCCTGCTTGAATGCCTGTATATATGAGACACAATAGAAAATACATTGTCTCGCGTTGATCCGCTTTTAGGCACACAATGGGTTAAGCGTTAATCCCAGAAGAGGAGTAAGTTTAACTAATTATAATTATTTTAGCACTACAAGTAATTATTAACTGGACATGATAATAATCTCCGTTGTCTAAGTATTGAGTTTTGTAAAAATTCCAACAAACTTATGTCCGATTTGGCAGTTGATCTTTACACCCTAATTTCCTGATTCCTAGCAGTTATCCTTGCAATTACTTTACTAACGACCAAAATCCATTTGACAAAAATGTACCTAACTCCACAGTTTACAATACGCTTATCCATATATATCAGTGAGCAAGTTTACAGTTCACACCATATTACACAACACGTGTAATATAACATCCAATACATAACATTTTATTTATATTTGACATCTATGTCAGACTCAGACGACGACGTCACATGCATCCGTCGAAACAAATTTTTTAACAAACATTGTATGGAAATTTCATCTCTATGTACGTAAAATTAAATGTACTCGTAACTAAATTGGAATGCACTTGTTTTGAGATATCCTGATTTGTCTGTGACGTAATAAGTATGGCATGTTTTGAATGCACGTTGCATATTTATTACTGTTATGGATAGTTGGATTATTTTGTAGTTCGATTCATGTCAATAACAATTAGTAGTTTGCGAAAATAGCTCATTATGTCCTCTTTAGATTTAGACATTCTATTCAATTTCTTAGGTTGAGCAAAGGTCGTTATAAATGGGTCTGTAGCTAGCACTTTAATCATATTATACAACTTTGCATACTCGTTTAAGAAAAGACAAATATTTTCATGCGAGAATGTATTTGCAAACTTCCTTATTTTGTCCAAAAACCCGCCGTATTTAGTGCCTTTTTTAATGTGATAAGCCGGTAAACGAACCTGCAGATCACCTGATGGTAAGCAATCGGCGTCGCCCATGGACACCCGGAACACCAGAGGCTTTATAAGTGCGCTACCAGTCTTTTAGGGATTAGGATATTGAGGATTGTTGGGGATTCAGGGATTTGAGGACAGGGGGTAATTGGGCTACCACTACGTCACTCACACGATTAAACACAACGCAAGCATTATTTCACGTTGGTTTTCTGTAAGGCCGTGCTATCAGTCAGGTTGAACTGACCCATTCGTGGCGAAGCATGGCTCTTCTACACTTAAAGAAACTTTCTTTTAAATGATTAATTAGCCCAGTTCTTAGCAACTGTTTTTGGAACAAAATTTTTGTTAAGGATTAACTTAAGTAATCATTTAAATAAATGTCTCTCAATATGACAGTAAGACCCTTCGGTTTAGTGGTCAAAATAACCCTTCGGGTAGTCAAGACCGAACATGAAATCCCGTACATATTTGTGCAACAATGAAACCTTACCTTCAGGGAGTTAGAATCGTCAGATGACATCATCTCTTACAGTACACACTGGGGAAATCTATGATTCACCTGCAACTGCAGCACGAGTCCATTCTATACAATTTATCACAATAGGATTGTATCTTATTGTTTAAAAGGTCGTAAAAAGAAACGTTGAATATACGACTGAGTTCGATTCCTCGTTTTTCTAGTCGTATTTTTTGTTTTGGAGGTTTTACCGTCTCGAGGTTGACCCGGTGAAAATGGGCACCGCGTCCCGCGACCCGCAGGACAAACGATAGCCCCTTAATTTTTTTTTTAATGCGGGATTTAAATATAAATCATCGAATGACTGCTCCCGCCTGGGTGAGGCGGGAGGGAGTGTCAGACTCTTACTGACTAAAACCCACCCTGTTCCTTCTCCTGCACGTCGAGCCGGAGCCCCGGTTACCCGTTAGGTTCTCCGCGACAGCCCCCTTCTAAATTTGGCTTCTAAATCACCTTCTTCCTCTTCTACTGACTACTTGACTACTGACACTGTCTTTGTGTGGTACTGAATTTTGTGTGGGTGTAAATGCTTTGGGGTTATTAGGGTTTCTGCAAGTCGTATTTTATTTTATAGTCATTTTTTTATTAAATTATAATGATTAAATTACTAGCTAGAGTAAAAGGTAGCCTATGTGTTATTCCAGACTAATTATCTACCCTTTGGTACAAATTTTATCGTCATCTTCTTTATTTGAAGTCGGTTAAAAATGGTTGATGGATTCGTATAATATATTCGTACTAATGTTACTGGATCTTTCTAAAGACATCTGATGTTTATTTGAAATTCGATTATCACTACATAGTATAAAACAAAGTCGCTATCCGCCGTCTGTCTGTCCCTATGTATGCTTAGATCTTTAAAACTACGCAACGGATTTTGATGCGTTTTTTTTAATAGATAGAGTGATTCTTAAGGAAGGTTTATATGTATAATACATGCATATTGCACCCGTTCGAAGCCGGGGCGGGTGGTTAGTTTATTATAATTTTATAACTAAAAAGTAATAAAGTATTATATTAAAATTCTATTAGGTACAATATTAATCAATGAAATTAATTAAGTCTGATAATAACTATTATGTCATTAGACCAAGGTTCCTTCTTGCCTAGGTTAGAGATCTCGCTAGTTTAATAATAAGGTTTTAATAGATAGATATTTATTTAATAAAACACAATATACCTTTTTTATGGCATAAGTCGGTAAACGAGCAGACGGATCACCCGATGGTAAGCAATCGCCGTCGCCCATGGACACCTGGAACACCAGAGGTGTTACAAGTGCGTAACCGTCCTTTTGGGATAAGGAATTTGAGGATTGTTGGGGATTGGGGAATGGGGGGGGGGGGTAATTAGACTTCTGTATTTGCCTAACAAACATTAGCTTTTTTAATCCCAGAACGGGTAGGGAGAGCAGAAATAAAATGTAACACTAACATTTCACTACTTGTATTATGACTGTCAGTCAGACAGACAGTCCTAAATCAGAGGATGAGCTGGTATACCAACTACAATTCGAACTGAATAACTAAACGAACTTCTGGTAACCTCAATTGGATGGCAAAATACAAGTTCTGGGTTTTTTGACCATCCCTAGTCAAAGGTCTCTTCTATTTTTATTTAGCGACCCGGCTCGGCTTCGTACGGGTGCAATATACATATATACATACAAAACTTCCTTAAGAGTCATTCTATTTACTAAAAAAAATCGCATCAAAATCCGTTGCGTAGTTTTAAAGATATAAGCTTACATAGGGACGGACTACGGCGGATAGCGACTTAGTTTTATACTATGTAGTGATAGTGATTAACAGCGACATGCTTTCCAATCTAGTTCAACATCATTACAGACCCTGACAGTCCATTGTTAGAATTTGATAGGCCTCCTCTACATGTGAGGGTTTTGTCACGATTCACTGGCGGATGTAAAGATCACAGTTTAAAAATATTCAGGTTTATATGACATCAGTCTGTCTCTGTCAAAGTAGGGTAAGTACTTAGGGATATTTTTGAGGGGGGAAAATCATCCGATAACTTCTCCCGCCCGGGTGAGGTGAGAGGGAGTGTCAGACTCTTACTGACAAAAAACCACCCCGTTCTTAGTCCTGCACTTCGAGCCGGAGCCCCGGTAACCCGTTAGGTCTTCCGCGGCTCCGTATCGGCATCAGCCCTATTGGGCTCCATCTATGGTGGTCTGATGGCTAAGTACTTAGGAACCTAAGTCTAACCTTACGACAACCATCTTGCTGAAGATACCCGCGGGAATAGATGGAGTGATGATAAATGTATTCTA